CGTGGTTTTGTTCCAGGGACTGTTTGGACCGCAAGCGCTCATATAATAACCGCGGTGATCGGATCCGGCGTTTTGTCATTGGCTTGGGCGATTGCACAGCTCGGATGGATCGCTGGACCTACAGTGATGCTATTGTTCTCTTTCGTTACTCTCTACTCTTCCACACTCCTTAGCGATTGCTACAGAACCGGCGATGCGGTCTCTGGCAAGAGAAACTACACTTACATGGACGCTGTTCGATCAATCCTCGGTATCAAATACTCAATTAAAAATGCTCTATTGTTTTGTAATGCTCTGTTTTTCTGTTCTGAGTTTTGGGAAAGCTCGTTTTTTTTTCTTATAGGTGGGTTCAAGTTCAAGATTTGTGGGCTGATTCAATACTTGAATCTCTTTGGTATCGCGATCGGTTACACAATCGCAGCATCTATAAGCATGATGTGAGTTTCTTTTCGAAACATACTTCAGACAAATAATGAAGAAAAAGGTTTTAAAGTTTGGTTACTCGGACTGATCGTGCAGGGCGATCAAGAGATCGAATTGTTTCCACAAGAGCGGAGGAAAAGACCCATGTCACATGTCGAGCAACCCGTATATGATCATATTTGGTGTGACAGAGATATTACTCTCTCAGATTCCTGATTTCGACCAGATTTGGTGGATCTCCATTGTAGCAGCTGTTATGTCTTTCACTTACTCTGCCATTGGTCTAGCTCTCGGAATCGTTCAAGTTGCAGGTGAAAATGAACTTCAAAATACTCTCACAATCTTTAAGAGGATTCAACATGCTAAATCTTGAATCTCAAATTTCTCAGCAAATGGAGTATTCAAAGGAAGTCTCACCGGAATAAGCATCGGGACAGTGACTCCAACACAGAAGATATGGAGAAGCTTTCAAGCACTTGGAGATATTGCCTTTGCTTACTCATACTCTGTTGTCCTAATCGAGATTCAGGTAAGAGAACACAAACCACAAAACCTTTCTTTGGACAAAAGATTCAATTTTGGGGTTAAAGTCTTGATTTTCTTTGTTTTGTTTTCGTGTATTTAGGACACTGTGAGATCTCCACCGGCGGAATCGAAAACGATGAAGAGAGCTACAAAAATCAGCATTGCCGTAACGACTGTCTTCTACATGCTATGTGGCTCAATGGGTTATGCCGCCTTTGGAGATGCAGCACCCGGAAACCTCCTCACGGGCTTCGGATTCTACAATCCGTTTTGGCTTCTCGACATTGCCAACGCTGCCATTGTTGTCCACCTCATTGGAGCTTACCAAGTCTTTTCTCAGCCCATCTTCGCCTTTGTTGAAAAATCGGTCTCAGAGAGGTTTCCAGACAACAACTTGCTCACCAAGGAATTCGAAATCAAAATCCCCGGATTTAGGTCTCCATACAAATCAAACGTTTTTAGGGTGGTTTTCCGGTGTTCGTTTGTCCTTGTAACTACCGTAATATCGATGCTAATGCCGTTCTTCAACGACGTGGTCGGAATCTTAGGAGCATTAGGGTTTTGGCCCTTGACGGTTTACTTTCCGGTGGAGATGTACATAAAGCAGAGGAAGATCGAGAAATGGAGCACAAAATGGTTGTCTTTACAGATGCTAAGTGTTGCTTGCCTTATGATTTCGATAGTTGCCGGAGTTGGCTCAATCGCCGGAGTAATGCTTGATCTTAAGGTCTACAAACCCTTCCAGTCTACATATTGATGAATGATGATGATAATGGACCAAGAACAAAAGAAAGTTGATGTGTAAAGTTTATTGTTTTATATTTAAGCATTTGGAAAAGAAACTGAAAAATGTGTATAGTGATAAGTTTCATTTCGTATGGTTCCATCTATGTAATAACATTTCAAAAATATGTTATAAATTATATTGGTGTGCTTTTTATGTTCTCTATTACTGAGTTCAACTCAATATGGGTGCTGAATTAAAATGTAGTGATGGTAAAATGGAATTTGAATCAAAGTGACACTCACGTTTCAATGATTTTTATATCACAAAGTGAAGTTGAAAAAGGACCAATTTGGATGGTTAAGCATAAAAGAGAATCTCCTCAATAGTAAAATTAAGATGTCCACCAAAAAAAGAATTATTGTATATGTATATTCCCCTTTCTAATACACTACCTCACTTATCAGAAACATGTAGGGTTCTTGGATCTTGGAAATGATCAGAATCTTTGAAAGTATCTACACGATTAAGGCACATGTCTGAAAACAACCCAGAAAGTTTCAAGGTTTGGTACTATTGAATCTAAATTCAGAGCAGAAATGTGAAAACAGCATGCCTTCTTTGTGCTCTCAATTATTCAGGAATCAGAGGGTACATAGTTTCTTACAAATTCTGATTGAGACATTGAGAAGATGCATGCAGAGAGTTCATCATCCAACAGATGCTTGAGTAGCTTTCTGCATTGAGTTTGTACTGTTTGATGACGAAGCCGCAGCTTCACGCTCTTGCCGGATTCGCTCTCTCTATAGAAAATCAATGTACACGATAGAGAAACAAAAAAACTGATGTTAGTCAGCGACGACGATGTTGAATATAACAAGTGCAATAAGTACTTATAAGGGAACATGTAATTCTGAACAACAATTCAGGTAGTGAGCGCATGTTGATCGTTAAATCATGATCTAATTTGTTAGTTTACAAAATATGAGGTATACTGCATGCTACCTATGCAAGTAAAGATAGTTAGCACCAAGAATCAACTCATGTGACCTCTTTCTGAGGACCAGACTTGGATCTGAATAGTTAGCTAACCGACTCGGCATTTAGTTATATGACTTGCTTCAAGTAAAATCTACTCGAGAAGCGAACGCATCTACGACGTTACTGCTAGTCCTACTTGCAGCTAATAACATATGAAGATACTTTATGAACTGACAAGTAGCTCTCAGAGGCTTGCACTTAGATGAAGAAAATATACCGGCAAAAGAGATTCGAGTCTTTAAGAAACGGTGGCTAAATTACTCTCTCAAAGCATCAGAATTAGTTACCATGATCATCAACCAGAAGAGTTAATCTACACACATGGAGACATTGGAACATAGCGAAAACAGAAAGCGGTTTGAGAGTAATTCTACAACATACCCTTCTCTCCCAGTAAGGCAAGAAGCAGACAAAGTCATAGACTGGAGTAATGGTCTGCACCAACACAAAGTTTATTCCAGTGAAAAGCAAGAGTCCCATCAAAGGCCTTGTTCTGTGAGGCATCTTTCTGTTCCAACTCTAAGAATCTTTCAGCTCTGTAACCATAAGTTAAACATCTCTCAATCACTACTACTATCAACCATACTGATTCCGTCGAGAATTCTGACTTATCTTTATCAAAAGCAAGAGCATTTCCCAGTAAGTGTTCCCATACAACATCATTTGAGTTTGCATTAAGTGACATACCAGAGATTGTGAAGTCAATTCTGAAGAAAATTCCATCAACAAGTCAAGACTCCTTTAGCTGAATCACGAAGAACGACAAAAGATTATTTCGAGATTAAAAAAAAAAAAACAGCATCAGGTAGAACAGAATCGAATAACTTAGGCAAAACTACTACATCCTTAAATCTTTTGAAATCATAAGGAACAGTACAACACAGAATTGAAACAAGACTACTAACAAGATCTCAATCGGAAATGGAGTATGCACTCACGTCGGAGAAGTTAAGAAATCGTCGGAGACGAAGAGGAATCAGTGGCGACGAATCGTAGTTTTTTTGTTTTCTTCAGCAATTTAGGTTTTTGTTTTATTTCCTTTAACGACGCCGTTTGGTTAAGTGAAACAATTGAACGGTGGATAAGTACGCAACGTGGCTACTTGCTCAGTCAAGAATGAGTTCCAACGTCCGATTTTTGCCACCTCTGCTTCTTCTTTTTTTTGCCTGGAGAAATAAATTGAATAAAAAACTGAAGAAATCTCGTTAAATCCGCCATTAACGACCTCTCAAAGGTATCTCATAAGGAGACATCCCTGTTACGTTTTTGGATTTTTAATTCCAACCCTCGATTATTCGCTCCTGAAAGCTTCGTTAGTCTCTGAATTTCCGTCATGAGAACAGCTATTTACTTCGGAATTTCGTGTTTTTTCTTTCCCATTTTCGTTGTAATTGAGAAATCCTTTGATTATCATGTGATTATTCATTTCAGTCTTTTGCACTAGCTTGGGTTTCGAAATGTGTATTTTCTATGATAAATCTGTTGGGTTTGTGGAGAAATTGTTGGTCTTCTCTACTTACATAATTTGTTGTCGGTGAAACTCGATCGGTGGCTTAATTTTAGTACCATTTCCGTGAAATTTTTTTATGCTTATTAAAATGGATTCATATTCTACATCAGTTTTCTGGTCAAATTTTGATCCTTGATGTAAAAAAGTGATTGCATTTAACATGTTGTTTGTAATACCATTTCATGTAGAATGTGTTGAAAGTTGAGGATTTAGGATTTCGTGAGCATGAGAAGAGTGTTTGGAGGTGTTGCTACAGGCAAGTGTGAGAAAATCTTGATGGGAATTTTCTTGCTCATCTTTTTGGTCTAGCTAGTTCGATTCGTTGTTTAGCTACGCAATGGAGTTAATGTTGCAAAGGTGTTCTTGTTTTCAGATTTGTTTCCGTTGCATATTATGTGTCAACCATTGCGGTCTAGAGGAAAATTGGCGATGGTGTTTAAAGGATGCAGACGGTTTGTGAGAACAACATGTCACGTTTCGATCCCTGGTGTTTCTTTGGGAAATGAATTAAAAGCACCTCCAAAGTTTCTGAGGGATAAAAAGATAGTTCCTGATGCTGATCCTCCTCAGAAAGAAGATATCCATAAGTTGTGTCGTCTTTTCGAGCAAAGGTCGATGTTACTACACCATTTTTTATGTCACAAGTGAGTATGAAATGATCTGTAAATCTAATGGCGTTCGTCGTCTCTTGTGCAGTTCGAGACTCACCATCTTGACCGGAGCTGGGGTTAGCACAGAATGTGGGATTCCTGATTATAGAAGGTTATTATTATGTTTATTCATTTGATCTATTGGTCTTGTCTGAAATGGCTTGCATTTGATCAAGATTCTTGATTTCCATGTTCCCTTCCGCTACATCTCTGGTTCCATTTTGCTATAATTTTGAGTGAGATTATTTGGTGCAGTCCCAATGGAGCATACAGTTCTGGTTTCAAACCAATTACCCATCAGGTGATCTGAAGGCAAGATCTATGTATTCAGTATGATGCTTAATGCAAGCTTTGAAGCATGATGTTGTTGTCTTAATATACTGTCTACAACCTCTTTTCCACAGGAATTTGTTCGATCAAGCCGAGCTCGTAGGCGATATTGGGCAAGGAGTTATGCTGGATGGAGACGGTTCACTGCAGCACAACCAGGACCAGCTCATACTGCTTTAGCATCGCTGGAAAAAGCGGGACGAATAAATTTTATGATTACACAAAACGTTGACAGGTAAATTTCTCAGATCTTTTGTGGGATCTCTGTTGGATGCAAAAATGGTTGTTGACTCTTAGCTCTAAGCCCTCAGGTTGCATCATCGTGCTGGAAGTGATCCACTTGAATTACATGGCACAGTATATACAGTTATGTGCTTAGATTGTGGCTTCTCTTTTCCCCGAGACTTTTTTCAGGATCAACTTAAAGCTCTCAATCCTAAGGTCAGTGTATACCATAAACCGAATCAACTGGTATATCACATCTCGCAAGGTTAGAAGAACGTTATTGTTTCTACTGTAGTGGGCAGAAGCAATAGACAGTATTGATCATGGAGATCCAGGATCAGAGAAGAGCTTTGGCATGAAACAAAGGCCTGATGGTGATATTGAGATTGATGAAAAGTTTTGGGAAGAAGGTTTTCATATACCAGTATGCGAAAAGTGTGAAGGAGTGCTAAAACCCGATGTAAGATCAATTTTATGGCATGAAATTGAGGCAGATATTTTACTTCTGTTTCTTAATATTCGTTTTGGTTTTTCTCAAGGTAATCTTCTTTGGAGACAATCTCCCAAAGGATAGAGCCATTCATGCAATGGAAGTTGCAAAACAGAGTGATGCATTTCTAGTGTTGGGTTCCTCTTTAATGACAATGTCCGCTTTTCGCCTTGTCAGGTAATGCTTGAGAATAGTATATGAAATGACTGTCCGCTTTTTGCCTTGTCACGTATTGCAAGAGACTAATCTCTACCGTTTCGGACTATGCATCTCATTGAGAAGCTTTCTATATAACTTTTTGCAGGGCGGCTCATGAGGCAGGTGCCATGACTGCAATTGTAAATATAGGCGAAACAAGAGCTGATGACTTTGTTCCTTTGAAAATCAATGCTAGGGTCGGTGAGGTAAGATCATAGCATTTCTATTCCCTTTTCTTCAACCTTTAATAACAATCATTCAATATCGGTTGGTGCAGATATTGAATAGAGTTCTTGATGTCGGATCTCTCGGTGTCCCAGCTCTCTAGGACATTGTCCGGATAAGGCAAAAGTTGATATGTCGGATCTCTCGGTGTCCCAGCTCTCTAGGACATTGTCCAAGTGAACACTGGCAAGTGCTATGTAACATTTTTTACTTCTATTCGAGCAATGTATCTGCATTTGTAATTTCAACAGCAAGTAAAGAGTAATCATTCTTAAATTATAATGCATCTATTGATGTCCAACAAAAGCTTGTGTGAAGCAAAAGAGATAAACTCAAAACACCGACTAACTTGACACAGCTTACAGTTGCAGAACATGGAGTTGTTCTGTCAAAACAAAAGACTTTGGCAAAGCCAAACAACGATTCATCTCAAGTCATCTTCTACTAGACTTAGCTACCCGATCATACAAAGCTTACAACCTAAGAAAGATCATTAAGGGCCTTATCGATATCCTCTGCATGGCTTCGAAGAGTGTTCCACTGCATGGTAAGAAAAAGTTAAAGTGTAAAACAGTTATGAAAACACATAATTCATAAACAATGGGGGAGAAATATAGAGAGAGAGATGTGAATACCTGCTCCACGCTTAGAGAGATACCTGCAACATGAAACAGACTAATCAAAAATCTTGCTAACATGTTAATGAGAAGAAAGCAAAAACTAATCTAGCTCTCTCTAGAGACAGGCATGAGTTAGTGCAAATCTTTATCACACATTTTCAGTGTCAACACTACACTGGAACAAAAAAAAAATCAAAACGTTATTGATAAACAGAAATCAGCCTACACCATCTCCCCTCATACACCCCAAGCACATTCCCAATACGCACAATTGCCCGATTAAAAGACCAAAAACTGCGGGTAACAATAACATTAACGACTGGACTAGATTGCAGAGACTTAAGTTACTTAAAAACCATAACACAAGATGAACGAAACTAGCAGATGAGGAAACACTTTACTAGCAATGGTTGAACTGTGAGAGCAAAGAGGAAACAACACTCAAAAGTAAGATAGTTGACAGAAAATAAAAATTACCTTTCTTTCCAGGCAAAGTTTTTCCGTCCTTGACATAGAACTCACGAATGTCAATCCAAATTTTCCCATTCCAATTCCTCACAGAGACTCTCCTATTCTTAGATATCTGAATGTAAACCAAACAAACACAATCATAGAAACCCTAATTTGAGCAAAAACCCTAAATTTATACAAAACCCCATTAACAAAATCAGAACTTCATCATAACACTAAAATTCAGTGTCACTAGAGTAGTAGATACAAGACTGAAATGTTACAGAAAGAGAGTAGACTAACATCGCAGATGACGATGTCGTCAGACTCGTCGGAGGAATCTGCTGGCTTTGCAGCTTTCTTAGCCGGAGCTTGTGTTTCAGATTCGTCATCTGATCCGCGAACATCCTCGTCTTTTCGTTTCCCTCTCGAAGACATTTTCTCAAACAAATGACCGACCCTGTAAGAAAAAAGCAGACCCAGAAAGCTCTCTTCAGACCAAAGTAAAATCACACGAACAAAAAAAAGAACAAAATTGAGTAAACGAGAGAGAAAACCTAGTCGTGACCTTGTTTCTCGGACAAAGCTCTCTTCTCCTTCTTTTCTAATGTGAGAGGGATTTGAGATCGTAAAGGGAAAATGAAACGCCATGTCTCTCTCCTCTCGCGTTTTTATGTAATGCGTTTCACCGATCACGCGCCGTTGTAGCGCGTGTGATAAAAATTACAACTGTGACACCTGTTAGATTCGTAACGCGATTTTAAAACGCGAGTTTGAGCTTTGCGGGTTAAGTTTTGGGAAATTAGCATGAATAACATAAAAAAAAAAATTCTAACAAATTAAATTTTCCCAACTGGAGGAAAGGTAACAGAG